CCTGTTGCCCTATCTCTACACGTTAATGTATGACGCCCATGCCCATGGCAGCACTGTGATCCGCCCCATACTCCATGAGTAAGTGCGACTCCTTTGCTCTACTTATTACACTGTTCCACTAAAAATTCTGTAGTTATGACCCTCCTAACAATAGAGTTTTCTCTTAGTTACAGCAAGTTTTCTTTCAACAAAAAAGCACAATATTAAGAATATGAGATTTCAACATCAAATCTCACTTGAACAGCTCTAGTTCTCAATTTTTCACTACGAAACATTGAACATTTTCTTCTCTAAGGGTAATATTTGAACTTTAAATCTCACCTTTAACCTCTGTAGGCGCAAGGAGCAAAACGCTGGTCATATGTAGGATCAGAAAACCCCACAAATATTACAAAAAGAGCTGGACACAAACTTTAAATAAAAAGAGAGAATTCTGCCACAAATCGTGACATTTTTACAAGGAAAAATTGCTTTTTTTGTGCGTGTCCAAGATGTTATGGCAGATTTTTTTTAAAAAAAAAATGTTGTTAGTCACAAAAAGCCACCTTTGTTCCTTGTCAGGTGGGGCAGTACCTCCAAAAGCTTGAAGTCCTGTGATGGAGTTAGATGTGGTCTAGTATCTATGTGTCTTGACTGAGGAGCAGAATTTTTTGCCTATATTTACTAACTTTTTTTAAAGCAACTGTCTAAGAAAAAAGTGGCACATATTAGAAAGTATTCTATTGTCCACTACCTAATCTGATTATTGCTATACTGGCCAAGCACAACAGACCTAAGCTTTGTGACCCAAATATACTAAAGAGCAAACGCAATGAAATTGGGAAAAAAAAAAAAACAAAACCCAAGTAATAGTTTGCATTTCTTTAATGAGTTTCACATTAGCATCTTTATGCATTCCTGGCAAACATTAATTGATCTATGAATTATTAATACCAGAATAGATGAGGAAATAGTAGATACTAGGAATAGTAGATTCAATTACTGGCAAAAATGTCTTAAAGAATGAATGCTTTGGAAGAGTTCAGCACCCAATAATCATTATTCTGTTAACTTGCAGGTTTGTGCAAGACAGAACCACCTGGGAAATATATGAGCAGTTCCTTTGGGGACCTGCACTGCTCATCAGCCCTGTGATGCAACAGGTACTTTTTTAAGCACTTAAGAAAATATTAAAGTCACTTTAGCAAAACTTCTCGGTTTGATTTGCGATACCTAAAACCTGTATGTTTAATTTCAGAATGCTGTAACAGTGAATGCTTACTTACCCAATGCCCGCTGGTATGATTATTACACAGTAAGTAATTTTAAAAATTATATTTTATATGTCTAAACAGTGCTCTTCAGACAGCAGCAGGGTGTGCTGAGGCTGGTGGTGAGATGTAAACCCTCTCTCTCCCTTTTACAAACTTGCATTCAGTATCAGTTCTCAGCAATATAACATCTACTCAGCTGATAAAAAAAATTCTTGACTTCAGTATAATTACATATAATAACATCACCACAATTAGAGTAAATTAAAGGTGAAATAATACCATTAATTTGAAATCCTTCGACTGACTTTTTAAAACTCTCAGATGATATATATAATGTCTTTGTAAGGAATGCTGGAATGGAGAAAGTCAAAACAGGTTTAGCTGAATCACCTTTCACAGAAAATAAGAAAAGATTTGGCAATAGGAAGAGAAGGCATTAAAAAAAATCAGTTAATCACAAGTTCATATTTTACCTGACTGTTCCCTTTGGTTCAGCTGGTGTTGCCTAAGGTCAAGCCTGTCTTTTATAGGACCAAAATATCAGAGTTTCTCTTAAAAGTGTTGGGTAGTTACTCCTGCAGCAAAAACTCATGGTTAATCTGTTTAGCAAAACAAAATAATTTCATTCTAAAACCCCTGTAAAGTGAGGACAATTCAGTAGAAGACTTTTTAAATAATTTTTTCATACACAGGATGAAGATATTGGCTTTAGGGGACAATTCAAAGTTTTACCAGCTCCTTTGGAACACATCAACCTGCATATCCGAGGCGGATACATCCTTCCTTGGCAACGACCTGCTAATACAACTTTTTATAGGTAAGAATAAGTGAAATTTAGTTTTGCACAATTGCATGTAAATACCGCCAGTCCTCAGAGAATCGATGTCCACTGGAAATTTATGGCTTGTTCTTCTTTTTGCTCTCCTCCTCGTGGTCTCCTTTAAATTTAATAGTATGGGCTTAAGAAGATGCGTATGGGAGATCAATTGATTGGCATGCAATATTTCTAAATACTTCTAACCTTTGAGAAATAGGAAATGTGATTAGCTGAGGAAAATGAGGAAAAATGATTGTGTTTTCCATAGCCGAAAAAACCCGATGGGCCTCACTGTGGCTTTGACCGACGCTCTGTTTGCAGAAGGCCAGCTGTACTGGGATGATGGGGTTCGCATTGGTACGTACGGTGCCTCTTGCCCACACACAATCTCTTTCTGCTGTGAGGATGGCTCTCTGCATGCCCCGAGAGGCTGCTGAGCCCCCACCCCTGGAGATATTCACAGCCCAAATTAAAGCACACAAAACACAACCCAGGGATATGACCTGGGCAGAGATGAAAGAAACTGCAGCAGCCCTTGAAAACCAGATAATGCTCAGTGGCTGACTTACGAGCTTTGCTGCCAGCAGTTCTTAGCAATACCGCAGTGGCCAAAGTGGAGGCTCCAAGCTGTAAGAAAGTTCATTGCTTGGCCGTCACTTTGGAAAAGAAGTGCTGGTGGTTGTGTCTGCCTTAGAAATCCTCCGTGTAACGTGGGGTGCTCGAGGAGGAGCATTAGGAGCAGATGGGGAGGATGGACTCTGGCCAAGGCAGTTGCATTTCTGGAGGACACATCTGAGCGTGCCTTCAGAGACGAAACTGAAATTAAACCTTCAGATTAGCATGAGAGTAAAACGATTTTTCCTGATTTAGACCACATAATGCTATGATTTATAGAATTAATATGCTGTATAACTGAAATTGTGCTCTGGACCTAAGACAACACAGATCACAAAGATTTGTCCTCAAACCTGTGGGAACCATAACCACAGATTACGTGAGAAGCTTTAACTAATTTCCTCAACATTACTAAACTTAAAGCGCCTTCAGATAAGAGACACTTCAGTGCCATTTATCCTTTCCACCCAGAGCATACTGCCCTTGTAATAACAATAAGCTTTCACCAAGATTACAGCAAGTAATGCAGAAAATGGTGTTATTTGCATAAGGGTGTGTGAAGGGATTTTTGCATTTATATTTTGAGGTGCTTCACACAGAGCACTGGAATTCAGAACCGGTGGCTGTCAATGGAAGTCTGATGAGAAATGAAAGTATCGCCGATTGCGAGGTCCATCTCACCAGGGTGCCTGGGATCTGTTTGTGGGAGTGCAGAAAGGCAAGAGCCTACAACGCCCATGATTACCAGCACCACTTTGAGAGCATTTAGTGCTGAGTAACAGGAGTGATAAAATAGAGAACAGATTTATATCATGATCCTGTGCAATTGGACAGTGAGTAGAGGTGGATGTGGGAAAGGCCTTCTTCACTGAGAAACATTTTTCTCCGGCTGCTCTTAACACTCTTGATCTTCCTAATGCTGTTTGTTTGCCTTCCTTCGTATCTTACCTCTAAAATGTTCTTATTTTGACCTCGTTTAAATAGCACACATCCCTATAATGGAAGTATTTTATGTCTA